ATGCAGCTGCTAGGGGTGGGGACACACCTGTGCCTTCCTCGTCCCCTACCCCCACAGGGCTATGGAAAGTAGGAGTCACTGCAGGTGCCAGCCCAGCCCAGGGCCTGGCATAACAGACCCATCCACCTGCGGCACTCCTGGCAATGGCCAGACTTGGCATCCCTTCAGGCATGGCCTCACTCACTGGTGCTGAGGCTGAGTAAGCTTCTGAGCCCGGTGTCCCCTGGGTAAGTCGCTCAGCAGGGCTAGGGCACCTGTGTCCGGCAGGCACTGACTCCTCCCTGGAGGAAACCAGGTGGTTCCCTGGCCTCCTTCTTTCTCTACTCGGTGTCTACCAGAGCTGCTGTGACCCTTCCCTGGGGGCATGTCTGGGGGAAGGAAAGTTAAAAAAAAATGACAAGAAGTTGAGGGAAAACCTGGTACAGGCTCATCCTAGCGCTGGAGTCCCGGCCCCCAGGGTCACCCCCACACTGCTCCAGGGCCATCGCTTGGATTCCAGTGCCCTAAGCCAGCCACTGCAGGGGAGACTGGGAAATGTGTCCTTTCCCCGGGAAAGGGAATGGGTTTCTGAAGAATCCTGTGCCGCGTCTTCCCCACCAGGTAGGACATCCCGTTCCTGTCACCAGTTGGGCTGCAGGGACATGGGATCATGAGACCCCTGGAAACAGGGTCCCCATTCCCCCCGTTCAAGTCAAGTCACCAGCCCCACGCAGCATGCCCAACATGTAGCAGCTGCTCCATAACCACAGGCCAACGACTCACCGAGGCCTGGCAGGGGAGGGAGGTGAGGCTCCACTCTGCCTTATGGATCCGCCCTGCAGGGGGATGTCCACTAGGACCCCACCTCAGGGGAGCCGTGAGGACACAGTCAGCCCTTGTGCCATGGCTTCCTGTCCAGCACCAGGCATTCAGTGGGCTCGTGTGTCTGTGACGTGCGAAAGCTTTGGGCGTGGACTGGGTCGGTGAGGCCCATGGCAGTCAACTGCGCATCCCTGTAACAGGTACCTGTGGTTGGATGGATGACTGACGTCAGCTCTCAGCTTGGGAGGGTTCCAGTCTATCTGGTCTGCTGACTGATGAGGGAGGAGCCTGCGGTGGCTCTGGAGGCAGAGGGTGGGAGTCCCTGGTTCTCTGTGTCTTCAAGGGGCCCACTGCAGCAACCTAACCCAGCCTCATCCCTTCCCAAGAGCGCCACCTTAGGGCTCTGGGTGACTCTCCACCCCTAACTCCTTAGCCTCTAACCCATTACATTGGGGACAGTCACATCCCAACTACAGCAAGGCCACAGGCCCCCTGTCCAGATGGTGCACTGGCTTGTCGCTCCTCCCGCACAGTGGCTGGGCATCCTGGCAGCTCAGCTCTGAGTGTACCAGGCAGCTGCTGGAGGCTGGACTCCAGCCCACCCAGCCTCTGTGCTCTGCTGGCTGGGAAACCAGAGGCAGTCCTCGAGGGACATGAAGTTGTGTGGAGCTTAGGGGTGCTGGAGAAGGGGCTGTGGCATACATGGGCTCCCCTTGATGGCTCACATGGTCTCTTCGTGGTGACCAAGGCGTCGCCCTGGCCATCCTCAGCTCACAGCCAATGGGCATGACACACTGTAGTCTCCCAAAGTGGCCACAGCGATATTTCTGGAATATCACTGGCAAGCAGGTTTGTTCTTCCCCGTGCCACTAGCTGGGCTGTGACCACTTGGCATAACAAGCTATGCTAAGTCAGGATAGGGGAGATGGCTTCTACTTGGTGGCTCTCCCTGCCCCACCCCTGCCAGTATTCACTCACCCCTACACAGGAGCTCCTGGCAGTGTGGGCTGGCCCAGAACACAAGCTGAGGTCTCAGAGTTGGCCATCAGACTGGCATACAAATGAGTCTTTCAGGGCATCCTGAGCTCCACAACTACTTTGTGGCACATGGCCTCGGTGACTCATCACGCAGCTGCCCACAGGGACCAGTAAGTGGCCAGAGATATAGATCCCAAGGGAACACTGGAGAGCGGCTGCCCTTCACTAATGGGACAGCAGGGACAGGGCCCCAGGCGGAGGATGCAGGTGCACAGCCTCGGTGGGAGGAAGGAGTCCAGCGTGGTGGGCGGTGCCAGAAGCGACTCCCGTCCTGAGGGCTCAGGGCAGAGGGGTTCTAGCATGGATCAGGTGAGGGGTGGGCGAGACAGTTGCAGCAGCAAGAGCAGTGCCAGGCTTGGTGAGTGGGCATGGGCTTCCCCTGTGGCGAGATGGGGAAGGGGCTGTGAGCAAGCCACGGGACGGCCTGAGGATGAGGCTTGCTGGTGGCACTGGGGTCTGGCTTGGAGAGCTGGGTGGCTGCAGGACCAGCAGAGCCAAGGGCAACAGGAGGGAGGGGGCCCATGTTGCGGCTGAGGATGGTGTGGGTGACAGGGGAACCTTGCCGGTTGCCCTGCTCTTGGGAGCACCCTGTGGGGGCCTGGCACCTTGGCAGTGGGGGTGGTGCTCCATGCCGAGCCACTTCCTCCACTGCAGCCTGGTCATTGTCAGGGCTCTTGCTGCAGCATCAGGGGCTTTGGCTCCACCCAGCCTGGCTGCACTGGATGCCGCCAACCCAGGTCCTTAATGGGGGCTGGCTCCCCAGCACAGCAAGGGCCTCTGGGAAATGCCGTGCATGCACCTTGCAGCTTTGTTTCTAGCCTTGACAGAGCAGGAAGTGGGCTGCAGGAAGGGCTGGCTGACTCACACACAGCCCCAGCACGCCTCACCTCTGCAGCCTTTGGGGACCCTCCCAGGCTGCTGGAGCACTTCCTCGGGGCTTTTTTTCACATCTATTCTTAATTTAGAAGCACGTGCCTTCCTGGCAGTGTGAGTGTGCCCCGCACCTGCCCAGCCTCCCTCTGTGTGTGTGTCCCTCTGTGTCTGCCAGAGGGGCAGGTGGACCCAAGGGGGAGAGTCCGGGGGGTGGGGGGAGGAATGAGGGGGAACAGCTCCTGCCTCCAGGTCCTTCGCCTCTTGTGACTTTTCTCTCAGACATGAGGGTGTGGACACAGGAACTCCTCGGACCAGCTGCTGAACTGCCTGTGGGAGCTGGGACGTCCTTATGGCTCCCCAGGGCCAGGGTGTGGGGGGCAGGGGTTTCGGGGCCTCAGGGGGCACCGTAGGCCCAAGCTTAGGTGGTAGAAGCTGTGGGGAGGGTAAGAGGAGTTGAGGCGCTTGGCCCCTGGCTCCACCCACTTCCTTATCACTCTGCCCCTCCCTGCTCAGAGAGCCCCACATTGGCTGGGAAGGAAGTTACCAGGGACACTGGGAGCAGGGGGGCGTGATGAGGGAGCGTTATCCTTTGGGGCTGCCCCAGGGTAGGATTCAGTCCCTGGAGACGCCTCCAGGGTCCCTGTCCATCAGGGGGAAATGGCATCTTTGAAGCTGCCTGCTGTTCACTCATGTCATGCCCACTCTGTGCTCCGGCTGGGGGTTCCTCCGTCATCCACGTAGAACTACAGTGTGACCCCAGACTGCAGACGGGGAAGCTGAGGCTCGGAGCTTGAGCCACTTGCCTGAGTCAGAGAGGAGGGGAAAGGCTGAGTTGCCTGGGCCCTGGGCAGTGCAGGGAGGCGGGCAGCAGGTGCCGAGCTGCGCTGGCTTCGGCTCTGAAGCAAGGCTTGGCCCATCACCCAGCCCTGCCTGACCTGGCGCTGCCCGGGGCCCCTTGATGAAGCCTGGTCAGCACCTGGCATGCTCAGCCAGGCTGAAAGGAGTCAGGCCACGTCTTGAGAGTCACATTAGTCTTTTATTATAACCATACAGTATGGGCTCACTTTGCCAAAAGGATAAATCATTGCTTAAACCATTATGAGTTCTAGCATAAAGATGAATGAGAAAAAAGCGACAGGATATAAATGACACAACCAAGTCCTCCACGGATCAAGTGAATTATGCTGTCATGAGACAAAGTGTGACAACATCAGCGTGTCCCCAGCCTGCTAACATGAACTTCACACTTCTCTTCAATGCTACACAAACGCAGCTTTCAACAGCAGGCAGTGGCCTTGCCAGTGGCCACCGGCAGGCCCAGCCTCCCACATGGTGTGGCGGTCCCCTAGGCACCTGCTTGGCGCACATGAGGCTGCAGGCTGGGAGGGCTGCACGTGGGCCCCAAGTCCTCCCTAACACTGCAAAGGGCCATGAGGGACTTTCTTAAAAAGAACCGTGACAGAAAAAGCACAATAACTGAGGGTCACCCAGGCCACAGTCGGTCTTGTGTGGGCGGAGCATCCCTGACAAAGTGGGCGTGGCATTCCTGCAGGATGTTCCGCACATGTGGGAAGGCAGGTCCCAGAGAGGTCTGGGCGCGTGGCGACAATCTTTCTTGGCAGACAGGGCTCCATCTTTGGAGGAAAAAAATCCAGCGTAATTCAATCTAGTGTAAAGTGTTCTACGGTCCCTTGGCACACACATAACGTGGGCAACTAGTCTGCTAACTCACATGTACTGTACAGCGAGAAAGCTCTATTTTCCAAACTGATGACAGAGGAATGTATGAGATACACAGGGATGTATATAAAAAAAACGGAGATGGCCTTGAGAGTTCACCTAAACGGTTCATCTCTAAAATGCATTCACCTGCTAATAATCAAAAAAATCAAAACACAAGAAGGAATCCACTGATTACCACATTGGTCAGAGAAAAACAGAAAGGTTTGATATGTTCAAAAATTTTCTTTAAAAAATGTGCAATTATAAAAACCCAAGTACCTGAAAAATAATAAAAAGAAATAAACATTCCTTAATAGCATTGTAACAAATAAAAATGCAAACAATGTTTGACCAGGAAGAACAACAACAACAAAAGCCGCACAAAAGCCGCTGGGGCCGGATGAGACGGTAACAGGTTCTCCAGCTCTGAGCCTGGGACGCCCCGCCCGCCCCTGCCCCTCCTGCTCCCCTCTTGTGGGGGCAGCAGCAGCCATAACTCCGAGACACCCCGGGAGGTGCCCACAGTGAAGTGCAAGGGCAGGGCTGTCCCCTGGTCCGCAGGCAGGCCTGGGAACCTCTGGGCCTGCATGGCCTGTGGCTGCACCCCTCAGGGCAAGGGCATGCCACCAGGGCAGGGCCAGCTCCACTCCGTCCTGACCCAGCGCCCTGGGCTCCGGATGGGGCAACCTCCACACTTGTTCCCTCAGAAGGGGGTGAACTAGTGCCTAACATGCTGGCTTGCAACATCCTCAGAGCCTCCAAGTACGCTGTGGAGCAGCCGCTCAATCACGGAAGCCTCCTTGGCCCTGGCATTCAGCAAGGCCGGTGACAGAGCGTCTGGCGTGCGGGGGCCCTGACAGCGTCTAAGAACAGGCCAGGGTGCTAAGCAGTGCCTCTGCAGCAGCTGACTCAAGACCCACGGCCTTTGTGACGGGGAGCCCACGGGTACACTGTCATTACTGCATCCGTCCCGGGCGATGCGGCAGCCAGCAATGGGGGCCCATTCCTCCCTTCACGTGAGGCCTCCTCACCCTTGCAACCAGCCCCTGCCCCAGTCGGGTCACACAGCACCAAGAGTTCCCATCAGAAGAAATGCCTACTCAGCAGAGGGCACATCCTGCTCAAGGAGAAAACGTGTGGGGTGCTCCATGCCCATCAGGGGTCCCGTGCCAAGGAACCTTTCATCTGTGCAGTGCCGTCACACCTGGTCTCAACAGGGGCACCCAGGATGGTACAAGTCCTGAATTCCCTCTCTCAGCTCCCGGCCAGGGAAGTGGCTGTGGAGGGCTCTGACCTTTGGCACCTGCTCTCCAGGGAGTCCCGAGTCCCAGGGTTGACTTCCACTCACTGCTACCTTAGAGACAACAGGAGATTCTGGCTGCAGAGGAATGGCCCTGGCTTTTTTTCCCCCATGTTCCTTATTTGGTAAATAAACATAGCTCCAAAGCTAAAGAAACTTGACCAAGAAATTGACTGAAAGCAGCTTACGCCATAAAATTAGGGCCACATTTTCCTTTCGGAACAGTCAGCTTAACAGCTTTTGAAACCCCTGTGAAGCCTGGCTGAAAGACTCCTTATTTCCTGGCTGTGAAAGGCATTAACAAGTACAATATAATTGTTTTAAGCAGGAACTAAAATGTATTTGGCCCAAGGATTGGAAATCTGTTTTCCAACAAACCAAAACTACCAACACATCGCACCTAAGGCGGAGTCTTAAGTTGAGACCCTGTTTCTAAAATCATTCTAAGTTTGAGAGGTCAGTAACGAGATTTCTTCAGCCCAAGCATCCACTACTTCTAGTTTGTTCTATTGGACTAGGCTCTGCTGTATGGCTTCCCAGGGCAGGAGTGGGCCGGGATTCCCACAGGGAGAACTCTCCTGGCATTAGCCAGTATTCCTACGCTGGATGTGGTGAGGGAGTGAAGATGTGGAGCCAACCCTTCTTCCTTCTAAATGTAATGGACAGAGGGGACAAGGGGAGAGAAGTGATTGTAACTTTTTTTGAACAGTGAGTACGACTGGGGGTGTGGAACCCAGCCCCGACTCAGAGCAGTGCTTGGGCGGGGGGAAGGGATGGCCCAGAACGTCCTGTCTGCATTCTGGTGGCCCTAGGTTCATGTGAGCCCTGGCTGAATTGCTTCTCTCTAGAGGGTTCCAAAGGGCTGGGCCAATGGCAAATGCTTGACAGGAAAGAAGCGCTGGTTTCTGAGAGGCCCTCCCTGGGGGGCACGGGGGCTGGCGAGGGCGGCAGCGCTGGGCACTGAGCTCAGATGTCCAGGGGGCATGGGGACTGGCAAGGGCGGCAGCGCTGGGCACTGAGCTCAGATGTCCAGGGGGCACGGGGGCTGGCGAGGGCGGCAGCGCTGGGCACTGAGCTCAGATGTCCAGGGGGCATGGGGACTGGCGAGGGCGGCAGCGCTGGGCACTGAGCTCAGATGTCCAGGGGGCACGGGGGCTGGCGAGGGCGGCAGCGCTGGGCACTGAGCTCAGATGTCCAGGGGGCTCACGATGGTGAAGCCTGAGTCCTTGCTGCTGTCGTCCTCGGGGCTGGAGCTGGGATTGCTGGAGGAGGCAGAGGCTGGGCCCATCAACGGGTCTGTGAACACCAGAGGGGAGCAGGCGGGGGCCCGGCTTCTCCCAGACGTGCTTCTGAGGGTGCGAAGAGGCTGGGCCTGGCCTGAGAAGGGCCCCTTGGCACTGCCCGCCTCATCTTCTTTGGACACCAGGATGAAGTCGTCCGAACCTCCTCCATCTGTGCGGGCCAGCATTTCTGAAGAGGCCTGCGGGACAGTCGGAAGGGCAGGCAGGTGAGAGGCAAAGCTGAGCAGACCTGAGGAGCTGGCCCTGCGAGGCCAGTGTCCTGGGCTGAGCTGGGCCACCCAAGCCTGTGCTCTGTCCTTGCGAGATTTAGCGTGCTTTTGCCACCGGAAGCCTGGAGCCAGTGGTGGCCAGCTGAGCCCCTGACACTGAAGACTGCTTCCCAGGGCAACAGCCTTCTGCCCGGCAGGCTGAGAGCATGGGCTCTGGAGCCAGCTGCAAGCTGCAGCAGGGCGCCAGCCAGCTCTGCCTGGGAACCGGACAGGCACTGTTCATTCTTGGAATTCTCTCTGAAATGGGATGAGGAGCATGCCTCCCTCCAGTGTGGCCGGGGTGCAGCGAGGTGCCTGATGTTGCCATGCTGGAGCTGTCTCCCGGCTTGTTTGTCCTGCGCATGTACGGGGCTGCCCTGGGGTAACAGCAGGGACTAGGAATTTGACATGAAACTCAGCATGGTGACTCTAAAGTATACTGGCAAAAGGTCCCAAGCTAGGACTGAGCTGGTCTGCAACGACTTCCCTCCCTTCAAGGTCATCTGGAGCCAAGAGCTTCTCTCGGGTCTCCCACGCAGGTGCAGGGTCCCAAGGCTTTGGGCTGTCCTCAACTGCTTTCCCAGGCCACAGGCAGGGAGCTGGATGGGCAGCGGGCCCCTGCATCAGGAATGCTCCCTGCGGGGACTTACCTGAGGCTGAAAGCAGCAGTGTGCACGGCAGCTATTTTTAGAGCAGTCCTCTACCCCAGGCACTGTGACCACCTCCTTTCTTCACCCCTTCTCCCTGCCCCTCAGCATTACCGATCAAGAAGGGGGTCCAGGCAGGAGGCCCGATGGCTTGGCCAACTCAGAAACTGAATGCGAAGGGCACACTCTTCCAGGCTCCCACTTGCAATCATTTTTCCAGACACAAAGCTGGTCTCCTTACTGATTTGCATACCAGCCTTAACCCTTCCCTGTGCCATTTATATCCTTACAGAAACTTCCCAGCTCCTGAGTCAGTCCTCTGTTCGTGCCAAACACCGGCATGAACCACACAATTAATGAAATTTTCAGCCTAAAACTTGTCAGAACAACCAAAGTGAGGAATCTTCAAAAAGCCCATGGAAAACGACATGGATTTCAAGTCTTTTTGCACTATAAGAAGCATCTTTTAATCACATTTTCTGCAAACGTTTTCAAGTCTTCTCCCACATGCTCCCTTCCCCGCTTCTTGCTACCTGCCCCCAGCCACCTCACTTCCCAGCTTGGTTCAGGATCATGCAGAGGGCAGGGGCCCACATGCAGACCGGCGCCAGTCAATACAACTCCCTGTGGTGCTCGAGGTGTTTGCTGTTGGTGCCGTTCCCTCCGGGACCTCTAGCTACATGTGGCTGGTGTGAATGAGGAACTAAACCTCAGCTTTCAATTCTGCTAACAAATTTCACTGGAATTTTAGAAGACAGATGAAAACCCGGGCACCTGGGCACAGACAGGTTGCCTGGCACGTCAAGGCTGTGGCAAGGTCCTGCCTTTCACTGCCCAAGTCATCAGAAGCTTCCCAAGGGAGCGTGTGAAGGCCAGATGCCGGGCTGGCATCCAGTCACACAGGACCTGCCAACAGTCGCAGGGACGGGGAGAGCAGGGGTGTCTGTTTCCTTGTGGGGTCACGGGCCCAGGAAGAGCAGAGCTCGGGATGCAGCGCCTGGGCAGGGTCTAGCCAGAGCATGGGCACAGGGGACCTCCTGCAGCTCGGGGCCAGCGCACTGTGGCCACATGTGGGAGTGCACTGGGGCAAGATGGAAATGGGCAGATTCTGACAAACACTAAAAGTAGGAAGGGCAATTGCCAAGTTTAGCTAAAAACCCTTAATTGTGCAGATTCATTACTATCTGCAAAATGTCTTTTCTGTAGTAAGTTTACACAGTGAACTCGACCAGCATGCTAACGTTTGAAATGAAGCTGCTGTTTAAAGCTGGTAAGTGAGCGCATGTGTGCTTGACACCTCGCTGCTTTAAAATCGCGCGTGTGCGCACACACACAGAGAATTTACAAGGTATCCTCCGTTTTCTTGTCCATAAAATAAGCAGATGGGCTCAAGCATGGATAAGGAAGCACTAGGATCCTTCCCAGCTGGAAAGCCCCGTGGTTCATTTAGAATAAGCCACACACGGCACTGCACTGAGGGCCCCCACCCCATGGCACCTGGCCTTGGCCGGCATCTGTATGAGCCTTGAGCTAAGAGTGGCCAGTTTCTATGCTTTTAAAGGGGCATAAGGACAAAAAAAACCCAAACCAAACCAAACCAAAGAGCCGTGGAGAGGTTTGGCCATTGTGGCCTGCTAACGTATGTGCTAACTGGCCCTTTACAGAAGTAACTACTGGGCGCTGCCTCAGAACACAGGACCGCCAGGGAGCTATAGTGAGGAAGGTTCTGGCCTAGTGAGAGCCACTGGGACCCACTGGGGACGTATGGGTGGTGCTGGTGGTGCTAACCGGGAATGGGGGCCCCGCCTGGGGGCAGCTGACCCACACCTGTCACAGGCCTGGCTTTCTCCGCCCATGGGGGGTGGGGTGAAACCAGGCCATGTGGCGCACACAGGTTAGCAAGCTCCAGGAGGCACAGCGTCATGGCTGTCACCGTGAGTGGCACCTTTACCCTGGGGACCGCAGTGTATCTTCTGCGCAGCTTCACTCAGCATCCTGGCTTGGGCTACTTGAACTTCACAACTGTACCTCACACGTGGCATCTTTAAGTCACCTGGGTAAGGTCTCATGGCGCTGAACTTTCAAGGACTCACGCGAGCACGCGTGCGCTGACCCACCTGCCGCCCCTGCCTGGGGGCTCCGGGCACTGGGCCGCCGCGGCCCTGGCCGCTGGAGCAGTAGTGGTCATCCGAGATGGTGATCTGCTCGTTCTCCTCGGCCTCCAGCTGGCTCTGGTTGAAACGCAGGGACCCCTTCAGGATGTCTTTGATCTGTTTTCAAATCAGAAAAGATGAATAAGTGTATGCATGCTAGCAAACCTCTTACATGTTTAAACCAGGCTTGTCATTGACCATTTTTAATAGTATGGATGCTGGCATTTTACCATAAGACAGAAATAATGGGGTAAAGAGTGGGTGGTGTGTGTGTGTGTGTGTGTGTGTGTGTGTGTGTGTAGAATTCAACCTGATCAAAGCTGCTGACCTAGGAATGACCAAGGAAAATGTCAGGGCAGCGATGGCCAGGTCCCCACGGGTCAGACATGGGTGCCGCCTGGTTATGCTGACACTGGAGACGCTGCTTGCCTGCACACCAACCCCACTCAGCAGCCTGGGCTGGCCGAGTGGCTCCATGGCAGCTGTGGCTGGCTGTGACTCAGGTCGGCACCAGGCACATCTACAGTGCTTTAGACCTCTGTGGGCCTGGTCCATGGGAGGGCCTGAGGCCCCGTACAGGGCACGTTTCTGACGTGTGCTCCGAGGATATTCACAGATCTAGGGCCGGATGACTGACCGACTGAACATGACGTTGGGACATGTCTCATCTGTTCTTGCTGAGGAATGAGCAGGTTTTGGGGGAAGGGCAGTGTGGGATATGGGAGTCCCATCTGGGCTGGGAGCTGTCACAGGTAATCCTCGGAAGAGGCAGACGTGAGGAGTGGGGGCTGCTTGGGAGCAGAGGGGGTCTGTATCATGGTCTCCAGGTCCTGGGGGCCCTTCCACAGCAGGGCGGGTGGGCTGCGGGGCACGAGGGAGTCATGATGTTACTGTACCTGCTTCAGTCCCGCCAAAGAAACCAGAATTTGATCTTCCTTTTCCAGGTTTTCTTGTAATATCACATCTTGAATATTTACTGAAAATAGAAGGATGACATTTTGTAACTAACGCTCCGAGTATAACTTACCTGCTGCCACATGAGGACTCTGAAGAAAAACAGGAATTTTTCTGCCAAGTTTCGTAACAGCGATTCCCATGCACAGTGCTCTGCCACGGAAAGCTGCTGGCTGGAGCAGAGGGCAGCGCTGGGCCTGGGACGCGCGGCAGACCCGCCAGTCAGTGTGAGGGACCGAGCCCTGACCACGCAGGTGGGACCTCCCTCTTGCTGGGGTGTAAGCAGAGGGGTGTTCCCAGCTGGGCTCCCTACACCGTGCTAACTTACCCTCCCTAATGTGCAACACTCCCACCTCCCCCTGCCTCCCCTGCCTCCCCCCACTCAGTAACTAAACTTACTGAAGAAATGGTCTTCAAGGATTCAGAATAACAACAAAAAAGCTACAGCTTCAAAAAGAAAGTGAAAATGCAACGACGCACATGGATCTCCAGCATGTCCCTGGCTGTGCACAGGTGTGGCTCTCCGTGGCCTCTGTCCAGGGACTCCTCCCTCCAGGCCCAGGGACTCCTCCCTCCAGACCCAGGGACTCCTCCCTCCAGGACCAAGGGTTCCTCCTTCCAGGACCAAGGGCTCCTCCTTCCAGGACCAAGGGCAGGGATCTGCGAACTCAGCATCGCACTGAGCTGCCCACAGCCACATCCAACTTGCGGCAGCTCCAGGGTGCACACAGCACTGTCAGGGACTGGGGCTCGTTGGGGCGACAGTCACAGAGGCCGCTGGGAAGGAGAGAGAAACCCACGGCCCCAAGGCTGACTGGGGAGCGTGTCAGGGTGGGACGGTGTCCCGCCAGCAGTTTCCCAGACATACTGATACACACACCCATTTGAGAACCTGACAGAGCACGCTTCCGCTCCATCAACACTTCCCGCTTTCTTACTTTCTGCCGGTTTATCCTGCTTGCCATGGCTTCCGTGCTACTTGGTTTCAGTCATTCACTCCACAGAGCTGCCCCACACTTACTCAACAGCCCACATGGGTGGATGCACTTTGGGCAATCAGCTCGTTCAGGCCCACACCTCACGGCTCAGCAGCCTGCTCCAGGGTTCTACCCCAAAGAATCCACAATACAGCAGTGCCCAGATCCCCTTCCGGCCTCTGCCGCGCTGTCTGCGATCTCCGCTTGGACCTGCCGGCTCACCCACCAACCGCCTCCCTCTAACGGGGGGCAGGAGTTCCAGACATGTGTGTGCTGCGGGTTCCACGTCCAGCCCTTCAAAGTCATTCCTGATACATCACAGGAACACAGTTAAGTGTACCCTATTGCCTGAATGAACGGAAGACAGTTTCGGGGCTTATGTTTCAAAATTGTGTCCCTTTCCGATATTTCCAGAGACTTCCCAGGAAGGAGCAAGCAAGGACGGATGTCACTTGCACACACTTGGGCCTGACAGCGCACTGGAACCTTCAGCAGGAACAAATCCTGAGACCAGGCCGCGCGGGCCTTGGGCCTGCTGCACGCTATGGCACTGGCTTTTATTTACCAAGAGAACCTGCCTGCACTTTTAGCTAACAGAGACGCCTGTTCCCAAACAAGAGCGTCCGCTCAATGGGAACGGAATAAGAGAAAAAATTAGAGAGCAAATGTTTTAGCTTTCCTTAAAAGCCTGTAACAATTTGTTCCCTCTCAAAACAAAACAAAACTGAAGCTACTCAACAAGATTTTAACAATCAGCCACTGCAGAAAACGGACAAAAACCAGATCTGGAGGGCTTTCAGAGGACCGGGAAAGGTCAGCTTTTGTTTTTATCACTGCCTTGACTCCTGGGAGACAGAGGGGAAAAATCAACTGTGGGCATTTACTCAGAATGCTAACCTCGGGGAGCCCAGCTGTCCCCAGCCGGCAAGTTCAAACCCGTGGGCTGCAAGGCTGGGACTGGGACTTCACGGCAAGCCTTGTGGTCAGCTGGGGTTAGACAGACAGAGGTACTGTCCCAATCCAGAGGTGGCAGGTGTCTGCACGAGAGCGCATGCCGGCCAAGTGTCAGCACGCCCTACGCCCTCAGGGCCCAACCCTCTTCTCTCGGTGCCCTGTGTGGCTGTGGGTCGCCGGCAGATCCATCTACTCAAAGCACGAAGTTAGGGCTCCAGAAGGGAGCGCGGGTGAAGACACGGGTGTCCTGGGAGGGTGGGACAGGGCACTCTTCCATGCCCCAGTATTACTCCCCCCGGTCCAGACAAGCAGAGGGGCCCATAGGCCAGGCTCCTCATTCACAGGAGGGGGTGGTCGTGGGCAGTACCCTCATCTGCACGCTCCCCTTCTTCCTCCCCAGCACATTTCCCCTGGACTCCCGGCAGTGCTGGGCAGCCCTCTCCTCACACACCAGGACTCTGGCTAATGAGCTGTGGGAAGAGCCCCTGGATGCACGGAGCTTCGGGGCAGGGCCTCATGGGTGGTGGTGGGTGTCGGGGTGACTTTTTGGTGTTGCTCCTCCCCCTTCTGTGTGAAATGCTGGCAGGAGCTCCGCAGGTCACCGTGCAAGCGTGCGGCTGAAGGCCACAGCGAAAGGGTGAGCCATCTGTCTGCCTGGACCGCCTCTCTGGGCCTGCTTGACTGAGAGAACGCACCCTCTGGGTTGGCTTTCCTGCTGTTTGCTTATGAGTGGCTCTCTGAACAACTTCCTTGGGTTGTTGTGAAAAAGGGCCTTAAGCAGACGGCTTCGGGCACAGCAGTGGATCTTCTGTAGTTCTGTAGGTGAGAGCAGAGTCGGTGTCTCCTCTGTGGAGGACTGCCTTGCCAGCTCCACTGCTCATTCTAGATTTAAGGTGGCACGGACAACCAAGCTGCTCACACAAACACTGCCTCTGGTAGCCAGCCCACTTCCGTGAGTAAATTGCACCTGCAACTATCAAAATAGCGAAACAGAACACCTTCCCATGCCTACAATAAGACAGGAACATGAAATGCTAAGCTTGCCAGCATGATGTACAATCTGATGCCCAAAGGCAGAAAAAGTTGCAGCAAAGGCTCAGTTTTGTCCCATGTAGAAGCAAGATTACACTGCACAACCTCTTCACAAGTAAGCATTACATATTAAAGCATTAGTGCTCTGGCACTCAAGGGAGAAAGAAGCCAGGCGGGCAGCCACCTGTGTGCAAATTGCACATAAAGTTCACCTCCCTGTGGGCGGCTTCCCTCCCTGGCTGGACCTGTGCATTCCGAAGCCACATGCCCAACAAGATCCTCTGGTGAAGCTGCCCTTCCTCTTTTATACAGGACACTGATTCCCAATCCAACAGGACACTTAGAATGCTCAGGTAATTACAGAAAGCGCTCATCATGGGCGAGTGACCGAGAAGCAGCTGCTGGTGACCCCCTTTTCTTTGTACTTCTTTAAATGCCATCAACTAACCACCTTCTTGAATATTGCCAAAGACACACATCAAAACTTTTTATTCTTTCTTTTAAAAATGAGCATCAAAAAATCAGACGTAGAAAGTTCTTACAATGGCAAATAAACTGATCACAAAACCTGGCCTCCTCTTTTACATGATTCTTACATTAATATTAGGACAAGTGCAAAATCAGCGCTGATGTGCACAGCAAGACAGCAGAGCACCGGAAATTCCACTACTGCTTGGGAAGCTGAGCAGAGCTGCAGCGAGGGGAGCGCCAGGGGCCGGGTCCAGGCTGCAGTCCCTCCCAGCTGCTCGTCTTCATCCTTGCTAGGCCTGGGCTTTTCCATTTGTGAACTAAGGAGCAGCTGAGAAGGCTCCCAGGGCCCGCGAGCTGTCACAGTCTCCCTAAGATCTCTCAGGAAGCACCTGGAAAACTTCCTTTTCATTGCATTGGATCTTTCCTTTTGTAGAAATCACCAATGGAAGGGAAGCTGCTGGAAACCAACTGTATAACCACCCGAGAACTAAGGGGAAATCCCGTGGTTCGGGGCAGGTGGGTGTGGGTACCACAGCCCGGTGGGTGAGGAGCACACACACCCTGGGTAAACAGCTGGTGGCTTGGCCCGCCTGCTCACCACTGCGCATAGGTTCCTCACCCACGTGCAATTGTGTGTGAAGCAGGGCAAGTCTAAAAGCAGCCGAGTGCAGCCATAGGGGTTAACACGGTCAAGGGTTCTCAGCTGAGCTGTCAGGATAAACAGAAGGGCCGTCACTGGGGTAGTGGAGAAATGAACGCAGGAAAAAGTCTTCTGAAATTGACAGGAAAGGACGGGATTTACTAAAACCAGTCTTCAATTCCTCGCTCTACATCTGAACCCAAATATTTCAATTCTATGAAGGTATCAAACTTAGAACATTGGTCATTTTGCCAGAAACAAGTATCCTTTCAGTTTTGGATTCTAGAACCCTGAGGAAATGGCATTAGCCGACCTGTATTTATTTCCTTGCTATAAAGGGCCAGGCAGCACGTGCCAATAAGCCATTTTGAATGACGAGCATTTCTCTACCTTGGTTCTACTACCAGTTGTGAAAACAGCCTCGAACAGTACTTTACATTCTGGGGTATTTATGGCATGATGAAAATGCGGGGTGATGGATGGAGCTTAGTGAAGACAACGGACAGAAAGGATGTGGAGAACTGAACTCCCAGGGTAAGTCTCAGAGGCAGAGCTCCATAAGCCTCAGCTGCTGAGGGGCTCGGGCAGATGGACCACTGGGTACTGAGAAGACTGTTCTCATCCAGAACCAGCGTACCCCAAGTTGCAGCATGGCTTTTATCTTTTGGGATATTCATTGGGTGCTGGGAAACCCCAGAGTAATCCCAGTTCCTCAACTGCCTACTTGTGGGTCCTGGGTGAGTCACTCAGCTGTCTTGGCTGTGTGTGGGATGTTTCCCAGGTTCTTCCTGATTTGAGTTGAACAGCCACTCTGGGCTTTGCCTATCCTAGATGTTGGCAAAGCATTAGCAGGGTACATGGTTTAATCCCCACTTCCTTTGTGGGGACACTTTCATTGACAGGCAGGCTTTTAAGGCACAGACCTGGGGTGCCCCCCGCCAGGCGCCCTAACGCCAGGTGAGGCTGCCCTCCTTCTTAGCCATCCCTCCCTCGCTCCTGTCTCTCTCAACTGACTCCTGCCCACCCCACGCAGAGCTGGGGACTTGTTCCTTGGCTGTCTTGCTTCTGGTTTGCAGTGAATATCTGACGTTTTCCGAGCATGGAAGATGAGGCCCCTGGAAAGCCCCTCCAACACCCTCCTTTCACCTAGGCAACCATTGTTACCAGTGATATTCACATCCAATATACACTCATTCTGCCACCTGAGCTTTTATTTAAATCTCTCATGAATATCTTAATTTAGAAAAAATAGTATTTTAAGCTTTATAAAGGTTAAAGCTTTACCATATGATACTCAATCCTTCTCTAATAGAACAAAATTGAAACAGTTGAAATGTCTATCAGGAAAACATCACATGGAAAACAGCAATGTTTCTGAAATCATTTTGAAAGGAAACAGAGTAAGTAAAAAATAAACCAAGGGGCCTGGCAGAGTAGCCTAGTGGATAAAGTTCTTGCTTTGCACGTGCTGGAATCCTTTATGGGTACCAGTTTGTGTCCTGACTGCTCCACTTCCCATCCAGCTTCACGCTTGCAGCCTGGGACAGCAGTTGAGGATGGCCCAAAGCCTGGGAGACCTGGAAGAAGCTCCTGGCTGGAAGACTCAGCTCTGGCTGTTGTGGCCACTTGGGTAGTGACTCAGTGGATGGAAGATCTTTCTCTCTCTTTTTGACTTTCCAATGAAAATAAAGAAATCTTTTTCTTTTTTCTTTTAAAATAAAGCAAGAGCTTCACCTTAGTTCATTTTATGTTTTCCTCAAGTCTCTACTGAAGATGAAGTCTGCCTACAAAACAGTACTGAGCCACTGTGTGTAAGGCAGATGAAGTGAAATGCCTGTGTGGCCGGGGGCCAGGAGCTCCACGCAGCATCCCGCAGCCCACGCGGCATCCCGCAGCCCACGCGGCATCCCGCAGCCCGTGGTGGAGAGGCAGCCGTGCTGCTTAGGTGGGGAGAAGACGCTGAGGCTTCTGAAAAGGGGCTCTGGCTGCAAGTGAAACGCGCACACACCAACAGATCCAGCTTTGCGGTTAGCTAAAACTTCACAGCTGTTATGGGTTTTTCTTTCCATTTTAATTAAAGTGTCTCCCCCTCCCATGCAACGGGAAATGCTCTTTTAGTGCTGATTGAAAGACTGGAATCGGAGCAGAAGCTGTTTGGAAATTCTGAGGCTTAAGTCAAGCGGCTTTAAAAGCTGCCACGTATCCCACACAACCTGGAAATTTCCTACCAGGATTTTTCTAGACTTCCAGTAAATCTTTCTCCCAATCACTTCTTTGTTTTCTTACTTAGGTTAAAACCAAAATCAGTAATACAAAGGTTATCCAAGTAGTGAGGGGAGCAAAAAAATAAAAAAAAAATACACATATAGCTTAAAATGAAAATGTTCTTTCAACAATTAACCCAAACAAGTCATACAAATTATGCTGTTTATATGTAGACTATGTCTTCATTACTGCTTATTAGTAGATTTCAAGGACTCACGGGAGGAGAGAACATGAACTCCTGTAAGCTTAGTACTTACTAAACAGCAAATAAATAGCACTGACCAGGGGTGGGGTCAGATGGATGTGACAACACTTCCTGCTGTGTCTACCCACCTGCTGTGTCTACCCAGTCATCCTACTGTCATCCCGCCATCATCCCGCTGTCATCCCGCCGTCATCCCGCACGGCTCCCCCGGCTGCTCCCTCCTCTTCAGCCCTTCCCCAGGCTGTGGCTGAAACGCCAGAAATAAGGCTGAGGGCAGAACAGGGCCCAGCTGCCTGCAATACACCCCACCGGCAACCAGCCAGGTTCTTAGACCTGCCTCTCCAAATCATTCAGAATCCTTTATTATCTCTCATGAGGTTGGTGTGGATTGGGCCATATGCAAACCGTCCAGGCGGTTTATGTGTGATGTACATCTTACTGAGAGTTGGCCTATTAGAGGGCTGGAGGTAGAGGGCTCACTTTCAGGGAAGAGCTCAGAGAAGGGCCACTCTCCAGGCCCTGCCTGTGGGACCAGGCCTTGGTGGATACACCGTGGTTTCTCCTCACACGTATGATGCATCCTGATTCCTTACAACACCTGGCACTGCCAGCCTCACGGAGCAGCACATTGGCAGCTTCGATCAAAGCACAGGTCTCATTTTCCTAAGCTGTTCCCTAGACTCCAGTGGGGAGAGAAAGGATTCTGCAAATGGGCTCAAGAACAGCAGATTCACAACGAAAGCCTTAAGCGGCATGGGCTCACTGGGGCAGTACACACATGGATACTCAAGTACATTCAAGGGGCAGTACACACCATGGCCCAGCCGAGGCTGTCTCTCACACAAAGCACGGTCCTTCAGGAACGTTCCGCACGGCCTAAGGACCTTCTGGGACAAGCTACAGGTGATTCCTGTGCAAACCTGGCTAGCTCCTAGAATGTAGGTTCAGTCCTAGGTAAGAGGAAGCCATACACGTTGGCAGTTGGTTACAAACAGAATTTAAAAGTGAAGTCAGCATTATGGATGTTGTCACCGCAACAGCACCGCGGACAGGCTGAGCACTTGATTTTGAGAGCTCGGCATGCCAGCCTGGTTTGCAGCACACAGGCGTTTGTTAGAGGTAGAGTAATGGCTAGGACCTGCGGGCAGTTAGAAGGCTTCTGGCTGGGATGTCTCCTTAAACTCTGCTGCCTAACCTGGTGACAATAACGCTTCCTCTACAGGGCTGCTGCAAGGAGGAGAGGAACGCCGTGCAGAAAGCTCACAGCACAGGGCTGAGCCGCAGCTGCGGGAATGGCCGCGCCTGGGCCTGGGCCGCTCAGGTCACTCACCAAGATGGGTGTCCATCACTTTGGCACAGTACTTGCACATGGCATCAAGGTCATTCAGTTGTCCTTGAAGAAAGGAAATCTGGGCTTCTAATTCTTCTTCCTAATATGACAGGAAAAAAGAAGGACAACTCTTTTTATAATAAAATCCTCCAAGGCCTCGAAATGGGCTTGGCTGTTTTCAAGAGGCATGATCGATCTTTCTTCAGAGACAAAACAAACAGCAAATAAAAAACAAGCCCACACTGGCACCACCCAGACCTTGCCTGATTGAATCCTAGCTCTGCGCCTGTGTGGGCGCGAACACTTAGGACCCCACAGAAAGAACACGCAAGATGGCGCTAATAACTATTGAGTGACACAAATTAGTAGCGTGGATTGTAGTGCAGTCAACTATACTTGGCACACAAAAACATTGCATTTCTTTTACAAACACATTTGGGAGACCAAAACTTTTGTCTCATGTAAGACAAATTTCATAACTTGAGAGTCAATGACAATCTCTGAAAACGTGAGATTTCCCAAAGCACTTAGAAAAGCTTTGCCCAACGGCCTATAAACAGCTTTGCTTCTATTTCCTCCCTGGATACGGCACTAAAGAATTTAGATGGTTGTTTGTTTCTAGGAATAAGTACTGTGGTTTGAACAATTAAGTGGTAAAAGACAATCTAACCGTAATAGAAGTAAAAAGTCTTGTTTTCTAAATGAAAATATAATAAACACAAAAACTTTCCCAATGAAATGTAGATTATGAGTATTTTTCTCAGAGCAAAAGAATGATCGTCATCATTAAGGAAATTTAAAACTAAGTTAGGCAGACAACAAAGACAGACTGCTGCCAGGGTGGGGGCGGGCTAGAAAATGGGTTTTCCAGGGGTCAGCATCGTGGTGCCCGCGAAAAGTCACCACCTGAAACACCAGTGTCCCATATGAGTGCTGGTTCGAGACCCAGCTCCGCCTCCAATCCAGCTCCCTGCTAATGTAGCAGAAGATGGCATGGACCAGAAGCTTGGGCCTCGGTACCCTTGTGGGAGACCCGGAAGCAGCTCTGGGTTCCTGGCTTCAACCTGGCCCAGCTCCTGCCACTGAGGCTATTACGGAAGTGAACTAAGAGATAGAAAATCTCTCTGTCTCTCCCCTTTCTTTCTGTAACTCTGATTTCCAAATAAAATCTTTTTAAAATTGTTTTTCCTACTTAGATGCTTGCTCGACTAAGACATCCCTTTTCTTGTAGAGCAAGGACCTGTACTTGCTAACTGATAGTTGAAGGTTGCCTGCAGGTGTATTCTATTCTAACACAAATGCAGCACTGAAGAGCATAGGTTTTAACTGCTGGCTGGAGAACAGCCCTTAGGAATATGCAAGGCAACACTCAGCACAGAACAGACTCAGCTCAGCAGCCACTGACTGATCTCCCCAGCAGGATGACTGACTGGGTTCTGTGCACATGCCACCTGTGGCAGCCGCCCCTCCAGTACACATCTGAACTAAAGCCTCAGAAGCTTGGCTGAGGGGCAATCAAGGGACTACGTGGAGGCTCCATAACTCCTCGGGCTGGGAATCATTTTTCTGTTCCTTTTTCCCCTTAAGTTTTCACATGGGCACAAATGTGCCTGTTTTATGGGAATTTGACAAAGATGTCATTTGTTGATCATCTACGGCTGTGATTAGTCTTCCAAGAACCATCACTCCCTTCCATTTCTGAATATGCACATTGCTTCACTTATTAAGGAGCAGAATGAATATCTTTTCCACTTGAATCTAGACAGGCATTGGTCCAGAAAACGCTGCAGAAGTTAATTTGTGCCAATGCAGGGCAAGTTCAGGAGGCTGACCAACTTATGCTTTCACTAGACGATGACAAATGCCAAACTGGAAAGAAGTCCAGGCAAGACCACAGGACAGGAAGGAGCATGCGCAGATGGAGGGGCACTGGGGCACTGGGCAAGCCAATCAAGGTTTCCTGGTCATTCTGTCCACCTAGCTCAGGGGAGCCAAGGGATTGAGAACAAGTGACAACAGCGTGTGGAGCAAAAGCGCAGCCCAACAGGGTCCTGCCCAGATTCCTGGCCCCTACACTCATGAGAAACAACAGTGCTGCTGTTTAAGGAACCATGTTTTGGAGTGGTCTGTGATGTTGCAAGGGATAACTGACAGAGTGGTAGACTGGGAAGAACCCTCAGCTGGGACGCGGCATGAGGAAACTTTCGCTCTAGCTCTGGCACCGCTCTTAGCAAGTCATGTGCTCTTAAGAAACACTCCCTGACTCTGTGCCTGACATTGGCTCCGTCTGGAGAATGCCAGCCAGAGGCTTTTCTCCCAAGGAGCAGACTGGAACTGGAAGCTGCAACAAGAAAATGGTGTAAGGTTGTAAAGATTCTGGGAGGTGCGTCAGTGTACAAAGAAGTCTCACCATGAAGGAACCAGTGCTCTAGGAATCCTGGCCTCAGCCTCCCGCCCCCTCCACTGCCCAAGCCTCCTGAGTCTAGGCTGGCCCTAGGGTTTGACAGGACTCTGAAAGGATAGAGACCAGCCCCCTCCTTGCATGTGCCTACCAACTACAGTGCTGCCAGCCAAGGGCAGACAAAGGGCACCAGGATTGCAATGTCTCCTGGCTTAAAGACATCTCCATTTTACTCCATGCATGCATCTCATTCGGATTAGCTTTTGAAATACCAACAGCTCTGGGAGCTTTAATCCCTAGCACTCGCTCTCTCCCGCCCTCCTAAACAGCTCTATTTAGTTCAATTTTCCTTCTTGGCAAAAGCTGGGAGGGAGGAACTTCAAAGGACACATCTCAGAGCAGAAAGGGGTGAGGCGCTGGGCAGCTGGAAGGAAGGCTGTGGCTCAAAGTGGGCTTCCTCCTTACAACATGTTACGGCCTGAGTGGGAGCATCGCTGTCATGAAGAGGATGGTGAGACTGGGGCCCCCTACATCATGCGGTGACAACCTGTGCAAGGGTACTGGCCGGCCCACAGCAGGGCAGCCGAGGATCCAAAACTACAGTTGCCACTTCGCTTAAGGCTCTGATGACAGCGACTACAGAGCATCCTGCCAGCCCTAAACCCAAGTAAACCCTGCTGCAAAGTCTGTCTCAACTTGTGGCCTCTGAAACCTTCTAGTTCAAAGGAAAGCTTATTTAAAAAGCGCCTGCGGCCTGAGGCAAGAGGACTATTTGGCTTAAGCCAGTTGAGTGGCCAAGAACCTCTTCCAGATGGGAGCTGGAGGTCCAATATACGCTCCCTCTGGAGTTTTGCTTAATCTTAGAATGTTCCTCAAGCCTCGATCTATCACTCAGACGTTATAAATAGAAATAGAATCATTTAAAGGCAACGGGGTGGCTTGTCATTTATTCCTTGCTATGTTACATAATCACAGAAAAAAGAGAGCCAAGAACCAAGCTTCTAAAATTGTGGAACTAATTTTACATTTCTATCTTGGGTTCTCAAGCTCCACACTGCTTCTAACTAACAATGCTTTAAACAGCAACAGTATCATCCATTGGTTATCATTACACTGGTCCCCACAAGCACAAATAAGAGCTTGGCTAATTGTCTTTTGGTAATATTTAAGTGTAAATACAACACTGAAGAAAAATGCTCACTATACTTATTTTGCATATATGTTTTGGAGTAGAAACAAATTGGTTTACGTCTTAACAATTATGAGCTGTCCAATCTTGGACAAGTTACTTAATTTCTTTTTTTTTATTAAAGATTTATTTATTTGTATTGGAAAGGCAGAATTACAAAGAAAGAGAGGCAGACAGGAAGATTTTTCATTTGTTGGTTTACTCCCCCAAAGGCAACAATGGCTGGAGCTCAGCTGATCTGAAGCCAAGAGCCGGGAGCCTTGTGTGGGTCTCCCATGTGGGTACATGGTCCCAAGGCTTTGGGTAATCCTCCTCTGCCCTACTAGGTCATAAAGCAGGGAGCTGGATTGGAAGTGGAGCAGCTGGGATATGAACTGGTTCCCTATGGAATGCCACTGCCTGCAGGCAGAGAATTAGCTTGTTGGACCATTGTGCTGGCCCCCAATTTTCTTAATTTTTAGTTGCCCTCAACCTTAACTGGCAGAACTGGTGGGAGAACAAAAGAAGAGTACAGACAAGATGAAGTCTTTCTCAATAGCGGTGATTGGTTTTTAAAAATTCATAGCCAGGCAAAAAGAGTGCAATGGATTTTAAGTACATGGGTTTGATTCACTGTTGGAAAACCCTGGTTTCTGGTTTTAAAAACTCCATGTGTCTTAGCACAGAAAGATTAATTAGGGCTTAAGAACTCATCAGTGTCTTAAGTTCTGGGTAGTAAATTAATACTCAAGGGAAGAAGCTGCCGGGGAGTCGCGGCAGGTAGGGCCACCTGTAGACCATGGCAGGCGACACTGCCAACTGCACTTGGTGACTCTGCAGGGGACAAGAGGGAGAGGGCCATTCTATCAGAACAGCAGCCAGCATCTAGTCTTGTCAGAGTGATTATAATATGCCAGACACGGTGCTTGCATGGATCAGCACACATAATCCTCTCAACAAATCTACGTGGTAGATTTTCTCACAATCTCCTAAAGGAAACATGGCCTGCTCTGTGAGCCACAATCTCTGAAAGCGTATGCTCCAGTTCAGACAGCTGTGAGAACCTGAGTCTCCCGGCCCATTGCTCCCAACTCTCCCCTAGGCACACATTCTTTCTTATGCACAGTTACCACGGTCCTTCCAACAAGTGACCTCATGTCTGTTTCCTTCAAGGGAATTCAACAACTGTAACACTGAGTTCCAGTCCTAACCTGCTAACTTCATTATTTTCCTTCAAAAGCATTCGGGTATTGTTGATGGGTTTCCATTCTGACCAAATAATCTGAAGAACTGGGGTTTTGAATTTGCTTGGTGTTTCCACGATCATTTCCGCTGGAATAGCTGATGAATCTTCATGTTTCTCCTAGATTACTATACATCTCCAGTGTTTATCATGTATGCGTTTTATATGCCAATTTTGTTGAGTGCTGCACTGTCTTTCTGCTGTTACTGAGTTAGAAATAGGGGCTGTTTTGGTAGCTCATTATTTATTTACATACTCATGAATCTATTCAATACGTGTATTTGCATT